AATTCATTTGCCTCTTTCCTTTCTCTGGAGAGCTGCATTTCCAAATCAGCAGTTAAAAACTCATGTATCAACAGTTCATAACCCATGGAACGATTACACCCAGCAATAATAGCAGTCTTCAAGTTAGAAACTGATCAGATGAACAGCGAGAGTTGCTGTATCGGTTATAGCCAGTAAGAAAACATTTGCAAAAGCTAGAGGCAAATACACTTCCGTTTAGAATGATCCATCCTAAGCCCTGGCCCGTGAGCTTCCGAGGCGTACCCTCGCAGGTTTCTACCTGTCTGTCTTCATTTTTCTTCACGGACTGGTGAGCTTTCCTTCCTTTTCTGGTGTATATCTTATTCTTTAACTTGCACAAAGCTTAGAATTATATGCAGCGATACACATGCCTGTGGTGGGGTTGAGTGGGAACTCAGTCAAACATGGTTTATACAAAGGAATCTTGACCTCCACAGCACGACGTCAAGGACAAGTGCTGCTGTAGGTACAAAGCAAGCTGGTACAGGCACGGTTTTGTTTAAAACATTACAGCAACTCTTAAAAGTGGTTCTTACGATGAAAGATGCTGGAGCTTGAAGGTAATAAGTTTGTTTGACCAGTCTTAAAATCATTAAATGATCTGATGAACATTTTGTTTAACCAGTAAGCAGAATACTGTGGCAAAATCATTATCTGTTTTGACATCGTTTTATTCCGTTCTCAAGCTGCAACATTCTTAATTTCATACGCGCTGTTCTGAGTAAGCCCAACACAGAATGGAAAAACATGTCAGTTGTTTCATTTCAAGATAGTTTTAATCAGGTAATTACAGGAAAAAAACATTTAAACAATTTTTATGGTGTTATCTGCTAGGTCAACTTACAAGGATATGATGTAACAAACCAGTTACAAACTTAAAGGCGTATTTACATTATATACTCAAAATAACAAGCTATAGTCCTATTCATAAAGGAAACACCTATGGGATGAGTTAACTATACATCATTTAGTAGAAAGAAATGGCAGTTGAGGTTTAATGGAAACAATATACACATGAGGCACTTTGAGGTCATTTGGGTGGAAAGCAAACGGCACCAAGCGAAAGAAGGAAAAGTATGTACAGCTCTGAACGTGAAGGCTGCTTCTCTACCGAACGCTTTGCTTTCTTAAACGAACTGCAACTTTTGCAATTAAGAGAGAGAAGCTTTCAGGGGAAAAAAAAAAAAAAACCAACCCCCCCAGCCCCTCCTTGTATTTACCAGCGCACCGAAGGAAATGGAAGTTTTATCCACCCAGCTGCTGGACCAACAGTACCATATATGGCATCTTTTTAAAGTTATTGTTTTGTTGCCAGCCACCACCCTTGGTCTTCTTTTTATTAATATGAACGTATGGCGGTACTGGCTGCATACTGTGCCATAAGCTCGGAAAAGATTTAAAGTCTGATTTAAACTGGTGCATTATTGACAGGGGAGTTCAATGTTATCCTCCAGGTACACCTGAATGGGTCATCCTGAAAAGAACACATCTGAAACGGGAATGTTATATTCCAACATGCAAAATGAAGACATTCTTCAAGGTACCTTTGTTTCTCTAGAGGCAACTGCATTGGTTAAGACCGTCTGCAACATCCCTTACGTTCGCTCTGGAAAGGCATCTGAATTTTGTGCCATTATTTGCTGCTGTTTACTAAACAGTTGCCATAGTAATTGCAGATTATCATCAGCACGCTGCTTTCATCTTGCCCGCAGCTGTAGGTATGCCCTTCGCATCTACCGAATCGCGTGCGCGAGCGCAGGGTCCCACTCATGCATACTCAAAACTGCATTCGTATCGCAAACCAAAAGGCCAGATTCCTTCTGCGTGAACATCAAAACTCCATCACTTTGCTGTGGGAAAGAGCTTCAAGGGGGAGGAGAAGAAAAAAAACAAACCCCCAAACCAGAACACCACCAAACCCCAAACCACTTTCTTATGAACCCAGTGACAGAATCAAAAGAATTTTCCTTCCATTCCTGATTTTATGCTCTTATGTAATAGGCCATCATTAACTATTTTAAACCTAACAGAATATACGGTTAAAGCATTTTTACTTTCCATCAATATTGATACTGAAACTTAAGAAACGTGATGAGATAAAGAATCACGGTAAGAGTCCAAATCACTGTTTTGTAAATTCCTAAGTAAAGCTTAACACATTTTTGTAGCTTAAGCAGTGCACAGATAGCTGGTTAAGTTACAGTGTAATCAAACACTGTGCCTTAATGCAGCTGGGTGTTTTTCCCCCAGTAGATGGTGCACAAGCGCTGCTATCATTTAACTTCTTCCCCCACTTCCAAGGGGAAATACTTAATTTTCACAGTAACTGAGGCTTTCAACAAGCGAGGGACTTAATACTCAGTGACGGTTTCCCAAGGCCCGGGTCTCCCCTCCAAGCAACACAAAGCTCTGCTACCACCTGCCTGACAAACTACGGTTCTGAGGTTAAGGACGAGGGGAGGAGTAAGGATTGGGGAAGAAAGTACTTCAGCAGAGACAGAATAAATGTTACGTGCCGTCAAAGCCAGCGGATGCACGGAGCCTGCCCCGGAATGGGGTCGCTGTATGCTCACCTCCCGCTACTCATCCCCTAACTGCAACAGTGGGTAAGATCCCTAACGCCAGAAGAAAAAGTACACGCGCATCTGACTAAAACCAACCCTTACGCAACCGCGTGCCTCTGCAGTTCTTGAAGCCGCTCTCAAGCTGGGCATGCGGGCTGACACGTCCAGCAGAGGAAGAAAAAAAGCGAACGCAACGTCGGTTCCGTAACACTTTTTAGACGGATCAAGTCTTCAAAGAGGAAAGCGAAAGGTGAAAACATTTCAGCAGCAAAGTGGTTAAATGCAAGGTGAAAATATTAATGCACAGATTCAATAAAAATGTTAAAGCATATATGTTTCATATAAAATACAGTACAGGACCAGGAGTTTCACTATGTTGTACAGTGCTCGGAGGAAACCATCAGACCTGATTTCTTTCTGAAGTATATACACAATATGGTTCTATAGCATTTTCCTATACAGCCAGCAAGTTCTTTTCTTCGGTTGTTCACACCTCTCTTCACCTCGAATTAGGAACCTAGCACTTACAAATATTAAATCCCTCTCATTCACCAGAAAGACATCACCATTTTTTTATCAAAGTTAACTTTAACAGTCTATGCGAGGCACCCAAGTTTAGCTGAAAATGCGCGAAGCATGAACATCAACCAGAGTAGCAGCTTTCAAATATACGAACAGTGAAAACCAAGGCTGCTGCTCCCGTGTCACGTTCTTGGACTTGACTCATCCAATCGACTCTTAATACAAAACTAGAAGCTCTTCCGTAACTTCTACAGTCATCAGTATATTTGTCTTCTTTTCAATGTGAAATAATACTTTGAGATGATCTATGTACACAAGGTGGTCAATTCAAGCTGGAATATAAATATAAATGTTTTCTTTTAAAAAGTATTTTACAGACAGAGAATGTTATATACACTTGCTCATTTTACTTCTGGGCTACAAAGAGAAATTAAGGGCACCGATGCATGCAGAAAGAACTACACAAAACATACTGAAGAAATGCATAGGAAGTGAGAAAAGAAAGACTTGTGCACCTCTGAAAACCGATTAGGTTTTTTTGTTTGTTTAATAACAAGAGTACACCGAGGCCAGCCTGTCCCACTCCAGCCAGGCTATCAAATAGGCACCCTCGCTAATGAATTAGGACTGGGTTTAGTGTTTTACGTATCTTTAATGAGAAGTAAATGTTTCTTGCTTTGTGACAGAACAAAGCAGGTACTGTTTTAAAAAATTCTCCATGGGTTAATCGGTTAATTCTTATCTGAAAGTTAAATACTTAGTAAGTACAAAGCCATAACAAGTATCAGACACAATATACCACCAGTGCGTACACATACATACACCCCCCCTTTGTCCCCCCTTCCCTCCCCCATCCTCGCTCCAAATTTCCTCAACTGAGGCGTTCACTCCAGTTTTGCCTGGGCTGTGATTTATTTCTCCAGCTAAGTCTTTTGTTGCTGTTTTTGAACAAAACACACGGTACTTCTGTTCTTGCCCGTTCAAATAAGAAAAAGTTGCAGTTCAAAATAATGAAAACCATTTCAATTTTTGTTATTAATCTTTTGTTTTAATCATAGTACTTGATAAACAGCTGAACAGGATCCTAGTTTAACAGAAGGATAAACAAGAACACTGATGACAATTTGTTACAACTGCCTTAATGTACCTTTTGCTTAATGAACATTTGAATATGCAATAAAGTATTTTTGGAGGACACCCCAAAAGAAAACAACTTGCTGGTTGAGCAACAGAAACAACTTCCTTTCTGCTATCATGTTGAAATCAAAGTCATTTATATATAAAAATAAATGTTATGTTCTAACAAGAACATTTTAGACAATTACATCTGTGCTTAACAAAAAAATATTGGTCACTCAAGACTAGAATAATTAATATTTTAAAGGTTTTTAGATTATCAGAATGTATGGATACAACTCAACACAAACTGTAGCTGAAGGGAAACAGGACTGAAAATATCAATTTGTCCATCTGGAATAAAAATGCGACTAAATTAACTAATTAAATATTTAAAATACTACCATGGAATGTGACAGTAGATATGGTCCATACCTACTACATCAGAGGGAAGGAAAGTTTAACATGTAATAATTCGTACCTTACACATTTAGTTAAATATAAACATTTGTTATTTATACATAAAGTCGCTTCCAAAAAACTATTAATAAGTGATTTAGTTGCACTTAAAATCAGTTTCATTTCTCATTTGCCGAGTATTAACTTTTCTTAATCTTAAATCAACTGTCGCTAGTGCACTTTTAGTTAAAATTTCCCCTCAGGTAAGTTTTAATCCTTTTAAAAGAGCGCCCTCACCTAAACCATGAATGTACAAAGTGGCAAAAAGTTAATCCCTTTTAGTATAATCATAGTTTATATACTCATTTTATAGCCAATAATAAGAATAGGCTCTCCTTTGCAAAATCTCCTTCACAACTTGCAACAAATGCCACGCACTGAAAGGAAATAGTTAGGCATGGCTAGCACTTGTAAAATGCCAAGGTCTGACAAGTCTTGTCGCTTCCTCCACATCAAGCATCTCTTACATGAAAGAAGATTCCCTTCAGCTTGCCAAAAAGCTTCCACAAATCCAAGTTAGATGCTTCCTGGAAACAAAGATTTTTCAGCTCTGTTTGGCACAAGACTGATTCATCCCGCAGCTTTATGCTTTCCTCCACAGCACCCACATACCTCACCGCAGTGATGGCATGCTCTCAAGGGGAGGTAGCAGCACATACATGGAGCAATGAACGAGAGTGCCACCAGTGCTAACCAGCGTAAGCAGAACTTGTCATCACTAGTGTCACACGAGCAAGGATCAGAGAAATCTCCTTCAGAGTCTGACATGCAGTGATACAGCATGCTCTCTGCGCAAAGCATGCAACTAACTTGGTAGATACATCTTTTAATAGGATCTGGCGCATCTTGACATTTTCCTCTGCCATTATCTTCATGATTAAACCTTTCCTGGCAGTATATACAGCGGGAACGCTCACCATCCTCTTTTCTTCTTTTTGAGTTTTTAAATTTTGATGAGGAAGGCTGAGTTTTAAATACCACAGAACTCTTTGAGTCTTTCAGGGAATTCAACTTAGTTCCATCCCCACATGGGTATAAATAGTCAGATTTTTTACTGTCTGATTTAGAAAATGGTATATTTGAGTCTGCGTCATCCCTCTCCAGGTCGTTCTTCCACATGTCAGGATGCCTGTAGTCTGCATAACGACGTATCAAAATGTCACGAGGGTTTATTCTAACAATTTCATCTTCGTCCTGAAAACTAACGTGTCTGATTGACTTCAGTGGGACCTGAAATGGCAAAGCAAGGTAAGTTTACTATAGAGAAGTCCCAAATTTATGTCCACCTACAACGTAAAACTTAGATTAGAAAATTAAAACCCGGGATTTTTCTCCTTGCTGCTTGAAGATAAAAGTTTCAGCTTGTTTTCTTACTAGTACAATTTACAGACTTCCCCATGATAACGAGCCTTTTGCA